TGAAGAATCCTTTTCAAGGTTTTAAAGGTGGATATAAAGTTCTCTTTAGCTTTTCAACTTCAAACTAATGGATAAATGGAATGGATGAATCAAGTTTCAGAGTAGTATTTCAAGTATATTATTAATTATTATGAGGATGATTGGAAATTTTTTTTGTCATTGGCAAAATTTGCATATAATAATTTGGTATATTTTTCTATTCAAAAAATATTTTTTTTTGCCAATTATGGTTATTATCCACAACTAGATACTTTTAATTTTTCAAAAATTGATGATCATGTGGCAAAAGATTTGACAAATATTTTGTCAAAGCTACATGCAACAATAAAGGCATAGTTAAAGAAAGCTAAAAAAAAAACTCAAAGATTAATGTGAATGCCTATTGTAAGGAATAACTACAATTCAATGTAGGTGACAAGGTATGATTACTTTGTTGCAATATCAAGACTACTCATCTTTGTGACAAGTTGGACTATTGTAGATTTAGACCTTTTCCTATTTGTGAATAAATCAATCATGTTGCTTATTGATTATATCTGTTAGAATCTATAAAGATTCATTTCCTATTCCACATGTCTCTTCTTGAGCCATATAAGACAATATCTTAGGAAAGAAGACAAATACTATCCCATCCTATAGAAATAAATAATGATAAAGAATTCAAGGTAGAAAAAGTCTTAGGTTCAAAGTGGTACCAAAATAGATTGAAATATCTTGTTTATTAGCCTTAGGATACTATCAATAGTTGAAAGGTTCTTTTGCCTCAGAAAATAAAGATTAGTATATGTAACAAACATAATTTGATGCATCTTGAACTTCTTTATTGTATGATGACTAGTCTTTGTAGAATTCATCCCTAGAAAAAGAGAGAATGTCACAGACATACATATTTATTTTAATAATTACCTATATGATTAAGTAGAAGTAAGTAATAATAGATTAATTTCATAATATCTTCTAGAAAAGCTTTTTAGAAGCTTCATAGATGTTTCTTTGACTTTACATATTTTTCTAGTTAATTGATAAGCTAAAAACTTCAACAATAAGTTAGCCACATATCACACGTATTAATAACTTGTAGAACAAGCTAATTATGAGGCCCACATATGAATAACTTGCCTTTCAAGTTAAATCATGTGTCTAATAAAGTCAACATGTGTTGGAAGTCCTATAGCATATCATTATATAACTCCTAGTTAAAGAGTATATATAGAGTCAAGAGTGAAGCCTTCTTCATTCTTGTCAATACCTTCATAGTCTTTAGTCTTTGTTTCAAGATTCTTTAGTCTTCTTATCTTTGATAATATCCATTCTAATTCAATATATTACTAACTTTGAGAGATTTTATAGTCTTTTTGAATAATACAAGAATGTATTGAGATTTTTTTTCTTTAAAACTCATATCTTTGATAAGAGCATATTGTAACATTAATGTAATAGTCAAAAATCTAGTAAAGAATTATATTATTCATTGGTTATTTAGAACTTTGCCTCTTACAATTATAATTTTGTCATTATTTTTTTTTATAATAAGAAGGATAATTATTATCATTTTTGCAAATCTTATCATTTTTTTTAATAATATTTTTATAAAACACCATCTATTACATATGAAACATCTTATTTGAGATGTCGACATGCCTAATAAACCATATATTTTAAGATAGTAGCATATAGTTGGAATTGGCTTTCAACATTTAAAATTTTAACTGAAAAAATAATATCTTAATCAAATAAATCTAACAAGTTGTCATCATGATGAAGAACAATGAAAAAATGAGCATGTTATATACCACCTTTTTTAAATTCAATGAGATAGATATATATAATATTTTTTTTAAGAATTCTATCTTTTATCAAAAAAGTTTTTAAAGTTATCAATTACTATTTAAATGCTCAAGTAACCAAGCTAAGACAGTTTGATGATATTTTTTCTTTTAGTAATTTTTCTCCAAATATTGACCAACTTGAGTTATAAGTAAAGATAATATAAAGATTTGGCTAGCTATGGACTTAAATTATTTTCATTGCATCTTAGTAGCATTGGTATATACTCCTATTACTTCTTCTAAAAGAAAAAGATAAATTAATATATCTTTTGATATTTGCTAAATCACCATTAATTTATAGGTGATCAAATAATATTTAGTAAAAATTAAGTTAAAATTATATGTTGATTAAATTGGAGCCAACAAAGACGCATTTGATCAATTTTTGAATATTGATGAGCAACATATTATTACAAAAGTCTTATATAATACTAAACAAAACCACCCTCAAGCTCACAAAAGTGCAAGTAATATAAAGCATAATCTATTGTGCTCAACTAAATTCTTTTTTTGGATCAATTATGTTCATATTCTTCATGCTCTACTTTATCTCTATTATTTTTGGACTCTATTATTTCCACTCTTTTATATAATATATTTAAATTCCTACTATATTTTTTATAAGAAAATATAATGGGATACATGAATAAATCACATGCACCATATATTTCATTGATCCTTACTAAAGGGCCTATGATAGTATAAAAAATGATAAGTCTTTTTTTAAAAAAATAACATCTTTATTAACAATTATCACAGCAATTTCATCAATGCAAAGGGTGTTATAATACTACATGTTTTTTTTATGATTTCTCTTAATACAAATGGCAAAAGAATAGTTACTATGGGATTCAACAATTTCATGCATAAAATATTACATAAACAGATTGATACAAAAAGAATTTATTATAAATATCATTTAAGAAAATTTGATCTAGATATTATTTGATAATAATTAAATTGAGCTTTAAAAGTAATGTCATAAAACTATATTTGATTTAATTTAAAATATTGATTTTAAGTAAGTTATAAACCTCTCATGAAATGAATAAATTGTACCTTGAATATAAAATGTATAAACACCTTTACTATAATAAGATATAGAAAAGATAATTATATAGATAGTTAGAACCATGGAAGTTTCTAGAATTGGGGTTAGGTTAGTGGACAAGATAGGATCCACCATGGAACATTCTAGAAGAATATAGGGTGGTTATTTAGATAGGGCCTACTATAGAACCTTCTAAAAAGGAGTTTAAGATAATTATCTAGGTAGGGCCTATGACCTAAGAATATTTTAGAAAGTCCAGGGTGGTAGGATAAGGTATAAGTAGGATTGGCTAAGGCCTTTTAGGACATATGGTGAAGTATGGCTTCAAACCCTTTTTCTTAGTAAAGTTTGGTTTTGCATATTTTTGTTCAATTTTGTTCTGTTCTATTTCCATTTGCACAATTGTCTTTCATGTCCTATCTTGTGTCATTCCATTCAGTTTTGTTTTGGTCTGTTTTGTCTTATTTTATGATGAGATTTTATGTTGCTATAGAATAAAAAGAACTTAGGTTTTTGAGATACTCTAGTCTTATTTCATTGATGCATGTTAGTTAGATTTAGATACCATTTTGCTTTCAACAATGTACAAATAAAAATACTATTGTAGAAGAGGATGTTATTAATATGTGGTTCATTGTTGATAAAAAAAAATTCTAAAAAAATAAAAATAGAGATGATAACATGGCCAATTTCATTTTTTTTTTAACAATATACATTACACTTCTTATATAGTTATTTCTTGGGTTTGCATTCAAAGTACAACATATTTACTTTAAAAAAGGCTTAATGTTTGTTTATTGTACCTAAAAAGTGACAAACATCTAGAATAGAAAAAAATTCAACTCTGATTCTACTTATCTTACAAAGCATGTAATGTTATTGACCTCTTTTCTTTATTTCAAGAATGAATCTTTGCCAAAGTCTTTAATGAGCTTCATTATTTTGCAATTACTTAAGTTCTTTGTAAGGTCTATATGCATGCACCAACCGCTGAGCTTTATAATTATGTAGATATTTGTTCTCTTCTGCTTCATTACTTTGATAAAACTAGGGCATTGCAATACATCAACAATTTATTTATTTATTTATTTCCTTCAATTTTTTCATGGCTTAGATTTGTTTGTAAGAGTGAATGAGAGAAATAAGAAGAATATGAACATAATAAGTAATCAAGACATCAACAAATATCATCAATTGAATAACAAACATAGATGCAAACAAATATCATAAATAAAGTAGACATCATAAATTGGATAAAAAAGAGGCAGTCAATAGTTTTAATAAAATGGATATATATATATATATATATATACATATAAATGTAAAATAAAAAATATGCATATTTATAAATAATTTAAATTATATCAAATACTTATTATTTTAAAGTTTTTGAAATACAAATTTTTATCATATTTTCAAAATGAATCATGTATTAAAACTCAATTAGAAATCAAGAAAAAACTATTTAAAAATTTATTCTAATCTTTAAAACATTCATTTATGGTATGTATTTCTAACAAAGGTCTTAAAATACAATGGTTTTCATTATTCAAAGGTACATAATACATGGTAGTTTTTTTTGTAAATTGGATTTTTGTTTCTTTGTTTTTTTTGTTTTTTTTGTTTTTTTTTGTATTCATTGAATTGAAAAATCATTTATACATATGCATTTCAACCACTATTTTTTTTTTTTTTTTTTTTTCAGCTTTAAGAAGTTATCAAGTACTAAGAAAATATTTAACTCACCATTGATTTTCTAAATAATTACTCTCTTACAAGCATGTAAAATTAAAATTACAAAAATCTCCAAATCATCATTTTGACTATGAATTAGTATATAGAGGTAATCCCCAACAACAATCATATCTTCAAACCTTAAAATCATTTCATAACATACTTATTGATTTTATCTGTTTATATTTATATATAGTAAAAATGAATAAATCAATAAACCCAGCAAATGGTCCACTCAGTACATTTTTTTTCTTCAGTATTATACAATAAGCTTATTGTAATTTGATAACATTCCTCACAGAAATAAATCTACGACGTAAACATTTTGAATGATTAACAATGTGATTACCGTTAGGGACAACGACCCCCACGGTGATGGAACTCACGGAATAGGGTACCACATGTGGAGTTCGGTGCGCACGGAGGTCGAAGTGGTGTTTTCGGACACATGGGGGACGAGGAAATTGTAGCTGTGAGGGGGCAGATCGTGCTTTGTCATCAGCTTCAAGGGCATGTCCCGATAGTGCATTTGGAGACGGGGATCTGATTCATCTTTCTCGCTTCCCGAAGTTTTTGTTGCGTGTTTTCTTAGGGCTTGGGCAAGTGCAGGTAGTTGTAGGTTTCCAACTTGAGCAGTGTGTGAGTAGTAGCAGGGGAAAGAGGACGAGTTGGAGACGGTCAGAGTTTCGCATTAATTTTGCTTATTCCTGTCCGCGAGGGTGCGGAGGAGCGGCGAAAACCATGGCAGATGTTATGCAACCCTTCGATGTCGGCCTTCACGATGCTAATGTGGCTGGTCCGCTGCCATTGCAAATATCCAATGCAACGCAGCAAGCCTACATTTCCGAGCTTCTTTCGTTTAACTTGGAACGACTGCACAAGGTGTGTCACCGTGGCAACGTTCAGCATTCGATCGTGTACCCGATCAACCCAGCAGTCTGAATTGTTGATCAAGTCCGTCGCCCTAAGGCTGTTCTATAAAGTAGCGGAATAAAATTGCTGGTGATAGATCTCATACCTCTCTGCTAGCAAAGCGATCCTTGAATCAAACTGATGATGTGGCAACTATAACCCTGAGATCGATGTTTTTGTTGTGTAAGGAACTCTTGATAATTTCTGGAAAGTGTCATCATTGAAATGAAACTAATCACTGTGTGGGATAACAATCACCTTCTGTTCTATTCGACAGCAAGTAGTGATTTGAAGTTTACCTCAACTTACGATTCTTTAGCGCTGACTTGAACACCATCTTTGCAATTTGTAGAGCTTAAATTTTATTGTCCTATTCTTTTTAGGCTATAATTATTTCTGTACGAAGTTGAGTAGATTTAGTTGCTGCTAAGTTTCTTCACAGAATCAGATTATTGCTGTGCTTTCAAGGAGTGAATCGTTGCTGTGAAATTTCAAGGTCTTTAAATGGTGCAAATACGCAGGAACCTGAGCTTTTAAGAGTAGATGGAGATCGAATCCGACGGCAGATGCAAGAAGTTGCAGTTGGCCACTACAGAGCATTTATTACTGCGGCAGATGCTGTTCAGAATATAACGCATGAGATTACATCGGTGGATGGGCATTTGAAGACTTTGGTAAGTTTGAAATGTCGTTGAAGTACGGTGTTCAGTATCTTACTCTGCATTTATAATTGGTATTTTGATGTTCTATCTTTTCCTTGAAAATGCATTTAAATTCTTCACTTTGGAGTTGTCGGGTATGTTTGGCACTTAACCCTTGGGCTTTTGTAAATCTTGACCCACAGTGAATTGTCTATGTTCAGTAATGCAAACTTATGGCTCCAATAATGCAAACTTATGTCACAGTCAGAGTTGTATCTCATACTTACTGACTCAAACGTTTTCAAAAACACTCTACCCTACGCACAGGTGTTTACAATGGAGCAATGGAGGTTTAAAATTTCATTGCACATGTTCCTACCGGTTTTGCAAAATTGCTTGCGCTCTGTTTCTTAAAATTCACAATTGCATTCCATTCAATAGCTGAAGTTTCATATTTGTGTGTACCAAGATTGCAGAAATTCCGAATCTCATCATCGGCTGCAATGACTTCATGGACGATGCACAGAAGATTTTAGAGAAGCGACAGCTGAATCGAACTCTGCTGGCTAACCATAGTTCGCTTCTGGATTTGCTGGAGATACCACAACTTATGGACACGTGAGCCTATTTGTGTGCAACAGAGCAACTGCAGATATAAAAAATAGTGGAAGTTTTCTTTCTGGTGACCATCGCACTTCATTAGGTTTTGATTAGTTTCGCTAGTTTTCACAGTATGTTAAAAGTCAATTGTTTGATTGCTTGCGTTGGCTTAGAGTTTTGATCAATTCGGATGTTTTTTATGCAGATGTGTGCGAAACGGCAATTATGACGAAGCTCTAGATCTCGAAGCTTTTGTCACGAAATTGGCTACGATGCATTCAAGGTAACTCTTCTTTTCACCTACGCTTGTTTTCAAAAACATACTTATATTTCGTGATAACTAAATTCATTACTCTTTTGGGTTGGACATAGACTTCCTGTGATCCAATCGTTAGATGCAGACGTGAGGCAGACAACTCAAACATTACTTGCCCAGATTCTACAACGACTGCGATCGAACATTCCGGTGAGGTCACCTACCATTCAGCATACACGTGATGGGAACACGATACGTGGACGAGCACTGTAAATTGAGCTAGCTGGCAATGGTTTGTCATCCAGGGGCATCCCAATTTATTGACATACCTAACGTTTGGGTATGTTTTCTCACCACTGTGTGCAGTTGCCAGAATGCCTGAGAGTGATTGGTTATTTGCGGCGATTGGCTGTGTTTAATGAGCATGAAATTCGACTCCAGGTATACCTTCTACCCTGCTTACATATTTTCTAATTTAAGTCTGTTAATGTGTGAATCAAATGCCAGAGCGTCATAGCATTTCATGTTCATGAACATGTCGTGTTTAAGGATGCGAACATTTGTGTTCAAATGACTGCTCTTTGGTTAAGACATGATTACTTTCATGCAACAGTTTCTGAGGTGCAGAGAAGCTTGGCTGGTGGGTATAATCGATGATCTAGACCAAAGCAACCCGTATGAGTATTTGAAGAGAATGGCGGATTGTCATCGCGTGCACTTGTTTGATGTAGTCATGCAGTATCGCGCTATTTTTTCTGACGACACTTCTGGTCATGAAGAAAACACTGATGGAGGCCTTCTGTACAGTTGGGCAATGCATCGTATATCGTCACACCTCAATGTGCTTCGTGATGTCCTTCCTCAAATCAATGAGGGCCCAAATTTGGCTATTATCTTAGATCAGTGTATGGTGAGATTTGCTATTTTTCTGATGACTTCCATATATTTGTCAAATTAATCTGAAAATCCATAGGAGAAAGCAAGTTTTTGTTATTGATTAGATCAGCCTCTCCGTCATCTCTTTCAGCACAGTCAAGAAATTAACCAAGCAGGGTATTCAAGCTTACTGTGTGTATTCTGGTCGTTTTAGTACTGTGGGATGAGCCTCGGGCGCGTAGGGCTCGACTTCAGAGGCCTGCTTCCTCCACTGTTTGAGAGGTAAATAAACCAAGCCCTTTTGTACATACTACCGTTGTGTCCGACATTTCACGTAGTTTCCAAGTTTATGGATTTTCTAACACCATATAGAGTGTTCTGGAACTGCACCACATGGGCTTTCTAATTTTTGGTCAGTCCCCTTGTCAGGTTCTGCATTGTGCAAGACTAATCTGTAGCTGCCGGCTTTTGGTGTGCAGCTCTGTTCACAACTTATTCGTGCGGAACATGTCTGTCACAGTGGATAATTTTCAGGTGCATTAGGCCTTCTCTTCTCATTTACACGACGAAGTTATGGTTATCTAGTAACAGCTTCTGTGTTAAATTATCGTCCCTTACTATATCTGCATGGTTCCAAGAATTTATCACTGTACATAAACTTCTTGCTTGGGTTCACAGATTAGGAATAGTTAGTTCTCGGAGGATACTGTTTTTCACTGTTTATTTTTTTCTTTTAGATTAACAAGTTTCTTGCATTTCTTTGTTGTACTAAGGAGCTTCTTAGAGCAAAGAGTATGCTGCGTAGTGATGCTATTTTAATTTACCAGGATCTCGAAAGCTTTTGAAATGCACTTAGATGCGTAGCTATCGATTTTAAGTTGTGTTCTCTCACTTGGAATTGACCTCTTCAACAGCATGTTCTAGATTCGCATCGTTGGGTTCCCCTTCCTCGTGTGACGCTCGGAAGAGCGAGTAGTCTGGATCATTCTCCCGATGATGTGGCTCCTCCCTATTCAATAATGGAGCATCCTCCACTAGCTGCTTTTGTCAATGGTACGTTTGCCCATTACTATTGCATGGGTTGGCATCTGATTTTAGTCAAGATTGATGCTCTATTTGATGTCCTGACATTTCATCTAGCACTTTGAAGTTTTTTTTGGAGCTCTAAGTTTCACGTCACCTTTGATCATTGTGATATACTGAAAACCGACTCCACCTGACTCTGAATCTCCGGTATCAGGTACTTGGTACGTGGTTGGCACTAATGTCTTCTGTTTGGGTCATACAGGTGTTTTAGCTGCACTGAATGAATTGAGGCATTGCGCTCCAATCAATTTGAAAGCCACTTTGGCTTTGGAGCTCCAATGTGCTCTGCAGAGCGTGTCTAACTCTCTCTTACGTTACAATGCAACCCGCATCGTGAAGGCCAGTGAGAAAACATTGTTTCTGACTATGTGCCGAGCCTTTATAGAGGTACTGTATTCAGCCCTACCATCAGTAATCCAATAAGTGCGTAAGGGGTGTCAATGTGCTTCTATTTAGGCATGTCCTCGGGGGTTCTGGCAATTTCCTTCCTATCTCATGTACTTCCCTGAATAAGCATCGTTTTTAAATTCTCTCAATAACCATCAGCTACAATGTGTATTTTTTTCGTAGTTACAGAAGTACTAACATGTCATTTCTTGTTCAGGTGGTTTGCCCATATTGCACTCTCTGCTTTGGCAAGTGCTACTCAGGGGGCTCTGTACTGATTCAGACAAATATAGTGCTGGAAGGAGTTCGAAAGCTAGTGTCTACGTATTCATACTCGAAGGACATTAGAAATGAGAATCAAATGGGTTCCTTCGACCTAGATTCTTTGCGGCAAAACCTACCATCTTCAGGGTCGTCTGGGGAAGCTGCCAATGGAGGAATTCAACACGCGAATGCGAACGGCAATGACAATCACATTGACAATGGGCATGTAGGTACAGTATTGGAGGACGGCGTGGTTGCTCACAAATCTGCAGTTGATGAGGCAGCGGAGGAACAGATTTCCGACTCAAATTGCCCCACTGACGTTCAAGTGTTAGAACCATAGTGCTTCTCGTGTAATATGCACCGGCTTGTGCACCAAGAAGGAAGCAACTAGTCTCGTAGTTTCATCAGTTGTAATTAGGCTCCTATAAAGCATGGATTGCTCATTTCGCATCGTTCAACTCACAGTGCTCCGTGTACGTCATTTTGGGCGAATTCTCATTATCAGTAGCAATGTTGTTTCTGAATGAACAGGTTATTCACAACAAATTGCTGTGCATTGCTATTATTCATTTTAAAATTAACCCGTCAGAAAGTAAGCAATTGATTTCTCCGAAGGCAATATTTTGAAGGTTTAAAACCAGCACAAAAAATTCCATGTTTTGACCATACCCCAAATTTGTATAAATTCAGTTTTTATTAAGAAAATTACATTTTAATGGATAAACATCCGTTAGAATTATATTCCAATTCTTTCATAAATACATGGGGCTCATTATGATTGTCACTTTGTTATACTTAACTATTTGTACATGAAAAACTTACAACATTTTTTGATAAACATCTTTTGAAAATGTCTATCCGCATGTTAAAAATGTTACAAGTTAATGTTGAAACACATTCATATATGTATATGTATATGTATACATACATACATACATACATACATACATACATACATATACATAACGCATGCTAATAAATAATACCACATTTGTGTTCGTAAGTCCCAAAATTAGCCTTAATGGTGGGTCTAAATGAAAACACACACGGAAAAAAGAGCGAAGGATGTTAATCATCCGAATTCATTCGTCATGGGCTCAAGCGAAGACCACTTAGTCTCTCAAGTACAATGCTTCAAGACCAGACTTGAAGCCGTTCCCGGGACCGTCTAGAAGCTTCCCTGCTGCTCCCTCGTCACTACATGTCGCTCTTGTTTCAAACTCAGTGAAACCCTAGTAATCATAAAAATAATAACATAAAAGAGACCGTGAAAACAATTCTATCAAATGCAATTTAGAAACTTCTTTTATTTATATTATACGTATATGCAAACATAAAATCTTATTTTTTCTTCAATTGTACTATTTATTTATTTCTTTTGAGATTATTTAAGTAATATATATGTATATATATAATCATATTATTTTAATTTTATTATCTTTAATGTTATAAAATTTTCCTATAATTCTACAAAACAAGTTTGTAACTTAGATCATTTTCCAAATTTTAATGTTTAATACAAATTTGATCTTACATTTTTCAGCAGTAATTCAATTGCAACTATTTGTAATGCTATTTTAATTAAATATTATAATTATAAAAAAATAAAAAAATAGTCATGATAACATTAAATGAAATTTGTAAAGATTAAATAACTGGTAAATCGGGTTTCACTGAGTTTGAAACAAGAGCGATGGTTGAGAGGTGGGATTGAGAGGCAGCCCATGAACAAACTTCAGCACCCAATGCGGAATGTGGATCCATCTCCAAACCTCCAACCTGCCCGCCTCCTGGTTCCCCTACGTTCCCAGAAATCCGATCAGCGGTCGAGATTGCATCTGAGCCGCAGCTGCGATCCGACGGCCCACGATGGCGTAGCCAGTCGATTGAACAAGGAGGTTTCTGGGACACAATTCTGCAAGGATTCGACTCCCTAGTCCTAACCTTGCTCCTAACTTTGCTAAGCTGAGCTATTAGGGTTTAGGGCTCTCCCCAAGGGTTGCGACCCGGGGGCAAAGTAGCATCGCAAGCTTGGGTTGTTTTCTCTGTGTTGATTTTTTTCAGGTGAATAGCAGCCGGTGTTTTGTTTTTGCGATGGGGGACACATTGCTGTTCGAGGACATTTTTACCATCTCGCAGCTGGACCCCGATGGGAAGAAGTTCGACAAAGTGTCGCGGATAGTGGCGCACAGTGAGCAGTTCGACATGGATGTGCTGTTGGACGTGAATATCGACATCTACCCTCTGCACAAGGGCGAAAAATTTACACTGGCCCTCGCGTCTACGCTCAGCTTGGACGGTACCATGGATGATGGCACGTTCGATCAGAGCAACCGCAAGTCACTGGCTGACAAATACGAATACGTGATGTATGGCAAGGTTTACAAGTACGCGGACACGGAATCCAAGGGCCCTCCCAAGGTCGAAACTTACGTCTCATTCGGTGGGCTGTTGATGTGCCTTAAGGGAGACCCTAACAATTTGAATAGTTTGGTGCTCGACCAGCGCGTCTATTTGCTCATGCGGAAGGTCGGATAGGGTTTTGCTGTTGCGCATTGTCTCGGAAATCCTGTAGCAGAACCTGGCTGTCGTCGTTCGTTCTGCACTTTTGAAAGTAGTACTGAGTAGCTAAACCTTGGCACTGTGGCTCAGGTGCAAATTTTGTCTTCGGACTGTGCCACAGTTTCTTGAAGCTTGAGAATCATGTATATTGACTATGCACATTGTAATGAACGTGAGAACTTGTTTGCTGGATCTCAACAATCTTCGACGAATGGCTAGTAATTTCTCATGAGCTTACGATTTTGAAGGTTTTTGATATATTCGGTGTTGAAAGTTACGAAGTATTTGGATAGTCGAGGTTTATTGAATCAGCATGGCACTTTCTTTCACTGTGATCGCTTTTTGTAATTTATGTCTCAGTTTCATGTCCACTCCTGAAAGATTTTTAGAGTTTTGTAGGATCTGACTTTTCCAAATTTGAATCGTGAGGTCCCATGAACACGCATGATCTTTGTTTTCTTCGAATTTTTCATGAATTACTTCTTTTCAACTGCATCAGTTGGACGATCCTGTCCTGAAATGAGAGCTTCGTGTAACTGTTCAATGATACATGGCAGTAATACCCAAATACCCTTAACTGATAGCCCCAAGAAGTAGAGGAAATATCTACTTTTATCCGGGGAATATCATGCTAGAGCAACCTAGAACTGAGGGGTTAATGTGTAAAATTGAAATGAATATTTAGGTCTTGTGTACTGTAAAGGTTATGTGCTTCATCATTTGTGTAGGTTAATTCAAGTAATCTGTAAATTTCCATTTAAGGTCGAAAAATTGCACTTTCAGAAGGATTGTGTAAACAAAGACGTTGGGAAATTATGCATCATAATTCTATTTTGCAGAATCTCGGAGCTCTATCTTATTATACTTCCCCATGTCCCCCATGTCCCCCATCCTTATTCCCAATCCCCGTCTAGAGCGCTTTTGTGCTTGATTTAATCTATTGGAGTAAAAATGATCACCTGCTTGGTAAAATGTATTCTATTATAAATGTATAGATTACTTAAGATCCATTGCTATCTAAGTTGGTTAGGGTATGATGGTACACATGCTACAATTAAGAATTATGAAATACCAAACTAAGTTTTTGAAGTTATGAAATTACCTTCTTTGTATATTTATTTTCTTTGGACAAGGGTAACAAATAATAATAATAATAATAATAATAATAAATCCCTATGGATATATATATATATATATATATATACAAAGCAAAAACTCGCATAATTTTATTTATTATGTTCTTTTTATTTAAAACATCTTCCATGTATATTGTATATGAATTTGGATTTTTCCAACAACATTTTCTAAAAGATAAATTAATGTAAAATCAACAATAATTTGATTCAATAATCTTTATTTATATATGTGTGTTCATTCATCAATTTAAATTGTTGAGAAGGTTTGAATTATTAAAAAAAATAAACTTCATTCTTAACAAAAAAAAAAGTATTGTACAACTTTTAAAGATTGCAATACTAATTGGTAACTTACTTATAGCAGATTTTTATCACAAAACATCTCTATTATATACAAATATCAGTGATTTTAGGTTATTTCAACTGTTATTCAATCATTTAGGTTGCTAAATAAGTTTCTTCTTGTGTATGTATATATATATATATATATATATATATTGGTTGTTTTGCAAAGGCCAAATAATATTAAATCGTTTTTTTTATTTATAAGCTAATTGTGTCATAAATTAGCCTTTTTACTTGTTTTTGTTTGTTTGTTTGTTTGTTTGTTTGTTATTTATTTATTTATTTTATAGCCTCCAAATCTGGTATCCTAAAATTAATTTAAGTGCAAGCAAGGTTGCCTAGTTCCATATTCTTCCTGTTTGTTTGCATTTTTAGAATATTTGTAGTGTGATTTTTAATAATTGTGGAAAATACAATTGGCATACACAACAGATCCTTAGATGAATTTGGATCCTCTTGTATTTGCTATAATGAATTTATGTCATATCATCTATATTGATTTGGCCTTCTTCTTTGTCCAAAATTAATCTCTATATTGAGTGAGTGAATCATTTTTTTTATTTAGAATATTATTCTATTATTATTTTTATTGGAATTGAATATTTTTTTCCTAATATTGAAGTTTGGATCATGTATTTACTTTATTTTGTTTTATAATCAATAAATGCCATCTAAAGACTAGAAGGTCAAAACAAGTTTTTTGCACTTGTGTGTAAATTAGTTTTATAATTTTGATATTTTTATGGTTTTTTCTTTTTCCTAAATGTATTACTTTGACAGTGAATTGAAAGCCTTCAAATGTGAAGATTGGTTGTATAATGTTTGTTAAAGGATCCTCATCCAATTTCTTATATTATTTATTGTCCCAATAAAGAACATGAGTTGTATAGTTCCAAAATTGTTAGTTGTGATAAAATAATAAAGAAATCATGTTGAACTAACTCCATTTAAAAGTTTATATAAGTTGATCATTTCATAAATCTCAAATAAGTTTTGTAAGTTCATTTTTTGATTATATTGACATCAGGTTTGTAAAAAAAGAAAAAAAACAACCACAATCTTAACTCTAAATAGTTGACACAGTAATATGTTTTACATATTTTTATGCAAACTAATTAACATGCTACTACCTTGAATATGCAAACAAATGTTTTGCAATTCACAATGAGCTATGTAAACACTTCTTTACTTCAACACTCAAATATGATTATTATTTGATAATCATACATTTTGTACAAGCATTAATATTACAGCAAGATTAAAATCCATAACATGTTAACAATACAAAAATTGTGGCATGTTTTGAAGCAAAGCGTAAAAGCTTTGCAATGGCATCAAGCAAGCATAGGTGCCAAATGAACGAACATTGGTTAGCTTAATAAGGGTGTGTTTCCTTTTTTCTTATTCTTTTAAAAATAAAACACCACAAGAAAATAGTGACATGTATCTCAGTGTGCTGTAGGGACTCCTTTCATCAAATCGAATCACCACATTCACCATAATTGCGACAAGGTGTTGCCCTGGACCCACCATCGTAAAAGATGAAAAAATTGACACACAAAGATTGACGAGTGAAATTCGTGTCGAAGGGTGACAACTTCTATCTAGTGAACACACAACACCCAATAAATAAATAAATATATAATGCAGATTGAGGGGGGAGGGGGGGGGGTTTTTGAGGTTTGAATCCGATTACTCAGCTTGGGTCCTCGGGATTCACACCGGAGATCCTCGTGGGAGTGCGGTCACGGAGCGCCATTAATCCGACGTGTCTGCCACGTCGGATGTGACAAGAGTAGCGCCAATGCGCGACCAGTCCTGTCTGCGCCCGCCACACTAAGAACACGCTTTCAAGCGAGGCGGAAACGCGACAGCGGAGGCGCCAATTGCACTCCACGCGACGGAGAGGGACCGAGCTCTGACAGCCAGGGCGCGGACCTGTTGCTGCTGCTGCTGCTGCTGCAAGCCTAGCCAAGCACTACTCTCACCTCCCCGCGGCATTAATACATTCTCCTTTCCTATTGGGTTCCTGCCGGGTCTCTGCTCTTCCATTTGCGCGCCTGCTCGCGACCGCGATTCGATCGGTAGTGGCTATGATGTCTACGCTTGTGCACAACGCCTGTGCTGCCTGCTGTCACCACCCATGGTAACTGCGCTATTCCCTGTCTCGGCTTCTCTCCTTGTTGATTGTGTTGTGGTGGGTTGGTATTTTGGGGTGAAAGGTGGTGATGTTGGTAGAGTTTGTGGTGGTTCTTATTGTGGGTCGTAGTTGTGGATTGCTGTTCGGGAATCACGTGTTTTATTGTTAGTATTATTGTTTTATTACGTGTTCATGCTTTTGTTGGTGTGTGGTGTTGTCTGGGTTGTAAATCGAAAGTGGAAGTTTTTTTTGTTTTTTTTTTTGCTGTATTGGTGTGGGATTGGCATTGTTGTTGGAACAGTGGATTTTAGGATCAGGCTTTTGATTTAAAGGAGGTGTTGTAGAGGGGAGAGTTTTCGAAGATTGGGATAGTTTGAATTCGTTACTGTGATCACCGATTGAGCGTAAGGTTGAGAGAGCACAAAATGCAGGCATACTTGTGAGGTCGGCTGATTGTTGGGGCGTGTGATTTTTCTTCAGGACGAGCGATGCATCTAGGCAGGACTTCATGTCAGGGAAGCGCGATCGTAGCCTCAGTAAGGCTGTACCAACAAGAAGGCCGTATGTGGTCAGTAGAGCAGTAAGGAGTTCCTTGGAGGCTGCCACTGATTCTCGAGGAAGCCACTCCCATCAGTGGTTTGACCTGCCCTATGCCCTCAGTTGCCCTGTAGACCGAGACATAAACGTGGAACGCTGGGTTGAAGACTCTGTAGATGAGGTGCGTGCTTCTCTCTCTGCTCTGGTTTCTGAACTGCTGCTTTTATGTAACCGATGTGCTGTAGTATGATCCTAAATATCGTGGTGTGCTTATATGTTCTATGACACAGTTATCATCTTCATCAAAAATGGAATTGGACTCATGTGGAGTTGTCTTATGTGCAGATTGTTAAAAACATCCAGGAGGCGCCCTTCTTGCAGTATGTCTACAATTCCAAGGGCCGGTTTGGGAGATCACAGCGACAGAAGGTCTCCCAAGACCTTTTGCAGAATCCAAACCACTGGCAGTCTGTTCGAAAGTCTTTGTCCACGCATAACCCAGATGGTGTCATCCTTGTGCAAAAGCTGGATTCGGGACTATCGGCCCCTTATTGTCTTGCACGGGTCTTCAATGAGGAGACGGCATGCCCCCTACTCGCCGACGGTGCAGAGACCATCGTGTGGGGAGTACTTGTACAAGCCAGAGGCGCGCGAGAAAATGCTTGCTATCTCTTGAAGACCACAAGTGTGCCATCGTCTGCTGGGATCTGCACCCGATACTGTCTGACGAAGGCCAAGTGTTTTGGGCCTTCACTCATTGAACAGCTTGAGAACGCGTGGTTGCTGTAATCAACTAACTTTAGATCTAAATTGTTTGTGAATGAATCGGCTAAAATCTTGGTACCCTTTTTTCTGTCATTTCTCTCTCCATCTGCTCAAGTCTAAAGGCTAGGTGTTGGTGGAATCGACAAACTATTGAGGCGGAACCTTGGTGTACCATATTCAGTGTAGGAATCGTAGGAATTGTTTATATCATTCAATGGCAATAATCTGCCAGTTATTATATTTTAGGACCCATGACTTTGTACCAATATCAATGAAATAAGTAACGTAACAAAGTAAGCCTTGGCTGAATAGATGCGTGCTACACCCATGAACATTCACAGGGTTTGGTTGCTTCTCGTGTGAATTGTTAGTGCAATTGACAGTTTTGAGTAATGAAGGTTTGAAATGGATTGTTCTTGAAATTTGGTTTGGTCGTGAAATCTATTACCTTCAATGTCAACATATTATGAATTTTGAGTAGTCATAGAAGATTCTAATCAATAAGATTCACATTAATAGTTATGTCTGCTTGGATAAAATTAAATGATATAATAATGTTCAAAATATCATATCGTTTTGATTACATGTCAATTAAATGAAGTTTTCTTATGGAAAACGATAACTTCGTGCAAAAAATTCTCCTTTGCAAAACTTTTAAAAGCTGAAATTAGTAGATTTTATTTATTATTACAAATACAGTACTTCGGCTACCTGGAAAAATCTGATGCTGGAAAAGACGAGAAGTTTTTATAAAACGTAGTAAAGCATTCAGTTACATGAAAGATTGTGAAAAAGGTTGATATGATTTCTTGATATACGTCAGAGTGTGACAACTTGATGCGGATGCTGCAATCAGAGGACATAGATGTTGGTTCCATAATCAAATGTATAAATGTATTATGTAAAGGCAGCGTCCCAGATGTGTGTCTCAGTGGGAAAAAGAATTAATATACAAAAGTGAAAATTCAAACCCATATGACAATAGGGATATGCTTGATTTCCGAGATTCACATTTGTAAGGCATCGCACAAGAAATTTATTTGCACGTCTTAAAACTTCTCTGAATAAACTCTTGCATATTGTGTAATAGCACTCTTGCTCTAAATAGCTAGTTAGAGCAGGTTATGGTGACAAGAGTTGGAGTGCAAGGTAAGGTTAAGAAACTTCTATGGGACAAAAGAGTGCACCACTTGCCGAGTAACTTGACAGCAACTATAAATGAGCACTCTAAACAATGGACATGGACGACGAAAACAGACAGCCCCACCATCCGTGATGGACGTACCTGTCAGATTTCAGATGGACAACCTCACATTGTTAACGAGTTTTGTTGATGCGTGCACCAAATGGGAGCCCAGCAGTTCTCTGCGTGCTACAGGGAGTTGCAATGGCGATCAAGTTGCTGGAAGGGGCATTATGAAAGCCAAGGCCCTTCCTAAACATGTGAGGCATTTATGTCAATGCTGTAACTACGGCAGATGCGTAGCTGACACTGCTGTCACGCATGCTTTTACACTGACTTGATTGCTCGTATTGCAAAAACTTGATACGCGTCCGAGTTGAACAATGCTTCAGCATCTGTAAGGAGACGGAAAAGATCAAAATTCAAATAAAGAAAATGCTACTGGAAAGAGATCTACACCGGCAGGAAATGAGTTTGTTGAACGGTTATCCTATGATTAGGATAAACATACAAACAGCTTAACTGTCTATATGGAGTATATATAACTGAAAAAGAATAAAGCAAATCAAGGGAATCGTTTTTGTGAAGGGAAATGCTGACATGGAGAAAAACTCCGATGGGATGCCGCCCACAAATTGTGTTCTCGAACTCGCTCAGATACTCCTGAAAGGCATCTGGATCGCCAGTTTCAATAATATCCATGCCACACTTGTCCAGGGCTTCAATGGACTTGTAAATGGGACCCCGTTTCTTCTCATAATACTGGTACCCAAACCTATATCACAACCTTAGAGTCCTTGTGAGAAACTTTACCTCATGGCACTGAAGCCTCTTCAACAAGCAAGACTCAAACTCGTTAAGTTGAACCCTAGATTCCAACAATCATACACACGCAACATGGTTTGGCATCAAAATAACACCCAACCAAATAACCAAAAAAATGAGGTCTGCATCTGATTTCTATTTCAGAGGAATCAAGTGAGGTAACAAAGACTCACCGTGATCCCCAATGGCAGAAATCTGAAGATATCGAAAAGAAGTTGGCCGGATCGTCAATGTACTTGGCCAATAGCCGTCCATAAGTAGCTTCAGTAGCAGGTGTGGTGGCACCTACCATGATCGGCACGATTTTCACAGAAGTCCTGAAAATTATGCCCACAAGGAAATATCATCATTGTGTTAATAGCCTCTACTCACATTTACTTGCATAGAATAACTGACAACATCATCATGGAATAGAAAACGTAGCGTAAGCGAATCGTTGGTGCAAATACCCCTGGAAGACCTTGGCGATGTAAGGCAAATGCATCTCCATGCTGTGCTCCGCTTCATCAACACTAACGTCCATATCCTCGAACCTGCCGCTTGCTCGAAGTTCTTCGTAAACTGTAAAAATTATTTGTGTAAGTACAGTTATAGCAGTACATTCAAACATAAAACTTCCAAACGCAACATGAATTGAGACTTTTCAAAGATAAAGACGCCGCACTAAATATGCACCCGAATCAGCCTATCACTGCCTAGTTTTCTATGATAAATCCAACCTAGAGTGTCATGGCGGCGCAGAATGTGAAAGATTGTTCAAAGTGAACTACCTTCATTGTCGATTGGAAGGTCTCCGAGTGGGGTCTTGTAAACGGAAACTTTTGACAAGCAGCACTTCCTTGTGAAGTGATGATGAGAAGGCCCTAGAAGAAATACCCGCTGTCTGAGAAGTCCTTCCACGATACACACCCATATGAGTTAAAGACCATGACTCTGGCAAACAATGAGTTGCAGCATTACTGTCAATTGCTTGGAGAGACCTATCATGCTCGGGGATGTAAATCTATGAAAGTTGCAACGAGGGATGAAGAAACTCACACACGTTGCGGATCAATATTAGCAAAAGCGTAAGCTGCGCAATGTCCCGAGTATCGATAGCCAGCGTGCGGAGCTATGACGGCACGAGCATTAGCGAGCTTGGGTAGCCCTGATGAACGAAGCCACTGATCCAGTTCCTGGGTCAACTCCTCAGCTATGGGGAAAATAATACAGCGTGCGAGAATCAGCTCATGATATTTGAGATAGGATGCCGATCTCTGCTTTAAACATTACAAGTCATGCGAGAACCCTAACCAGACAGGATGGTTAACCAAAGACTAACTATTAAAACCAGTGGCGGAATCGCCCACCAAAAAGGTAACAGATTCGTCACCTTACAAGCCTAAGGGTTGGATATATACTTCTCTGGAAATCTATCTGATGATGAACACAATTCAAGCATAGCGATGAACAACCAACATTAGACGCAAAGTAGACACATTGCGATCGAAGGAAACATCTCACGACTTAGCAAAGAAATTTTGAAGTGCAGCGTTCCTGTATTTAATATGGATCACAATTAAGACACTGAAATTGCAACAGGATCGCTTGGTCCTCGGGCGAGCACTTCGCAGCCTACACAACTGCCTTTTACCTTTAGCTTAAGAAGAAATAGAACAACAAACATTGAAAACTTTGATAGCATACCCTGTGACTGCCCAACCTAGCGTACAATACGAAAGAGGCTCTGCTTAACGAAGAGAATTTTGCTCCATCAGATCAGAGCACCATGCACAAACATCCGAATTGTCTCGCAAGTTAACCTCAACTCCACATAGTTCTGATCTCCCACAGAGGCGTCTTCTTCTCACTAATGATAGTAGATCCAAACATGGACGCCATCGGCAAACCAACTGCTCACCTTAAGTGCATGGGAAACGCGAGCAAGGGTGGGAGGATTACCATCGTCAGTATACCAAGTGCCCGCATGAAAAGCCTCCCTGCACGCCATGTTTGTACCACTCCCTGTCATGCTCCACCCGGCTATGGATTCAGGGAGCCCTCCTCACCCCAACAACCCCAAACCTCAATTGCTCTACAACCCTCTGCCAGCAGCCCGATCATTGAACAACAAATGCCAGCTTTTTCACTCTCTCCGTCTCTCTCCCCCTTGGTCTACCCTTCGCATCATCCCAAGCTCCTGCCAAATTGCGTGTGCTGGAGCTGAATCTAATCGCCCCACAACAAGATATCCATCAGGAGGCTACAGTCCAAGCCACCGAGGAGGAAATATCCAAAAGGGTTAAAATCTCCGGATTTGCAATAGAATTATGCAACACGGCATCCGTTAATGCATCCGTTACTGACCGAGCAATCATGGTTGAATCGTTGCTTTTGCTCCCCAACCCACCCCTATGCAGCGGACCTCAGGAATGACGAATGATTTTTTGCGTGCTACACCATGTCTCGTCCATTTTTCTCACCGAAAGTGTGTATTTGATGAACTCTATCCCTTGCAAAATAACCGACTGGGCAATGCACAATCCCACATTCATTCCTGTAGTAAACAACACGAAAATTATTTCTTTTACTTCACCGATGCTGTCTTTCCGCACCATGTTTAATATTTATAAACTCCTTCCGGTACCCAAACATCAATTTACGTTTTAACCCACCTTCGAAGTAAAATCCCTGAAACTCATCGTTCACATGCACATCTTTGGGCTTACACAGGGTTGGTTCCAAAGGATTCTTTTCAAAAGGTCTTACTTATTTATTTATTTACTGCCGACGGCGTGGTTCCCGAGGCGGATGGGCGATGCTGATTGCGTGCGATGGACTGGGGATAACCGATGTGACCCCCCCCCTCCCCCCCCAAGTAAACTTGTGTGTCGATCGATGCCTTCCTCAGCCAGTTTCAGCTAATTTTGGCATCCTCTGCAAGCAAGCTAGCGTGGCCATTGCAATGTTTGGAAACATTTTTCGGAGCTGTTTTGGGATGATCCCAGTAAACCCACCCACATTTTTATTGCCACAACACAAATGTTAACAGAAGTGAAGAATCGTGTGGCATCATCAGCACTGAAGTTCACAGAAGCAGCACTAGCACTGGTGATATTCTAAACCAACAAACATGCACATGGCTTTAGTTTCACAATGTGCATCTGGAGAGCACCCCATCGTCATGACCCTGTAGCTTGTGAAGTTGAGAATTGTGTGTCTTTTATTTTACATTACTATTATTATTATTATTATTAAACACAGCTCTTGTAAGAGGCTCCCAAGCAAGACACTATCTCTCTGGACCAGAGGATCAAAACAAAGTCATCTCAGAGGTTGACAACAAGTGATGGTAGAAGCAGCCACATGGAAAAATAAATGTGGAGTTTTTGAATGTTTAAAAGTCTCTTGATGTTTTACATTTACTGTTTTAAATCCTTATTTTTTTTGCATGTTTAATTTTACAAGTGTGTATGTTTTTTTATTTTTAACAATCATTTTTAATTCTTGGAGAGCAATTGCTTGGAACAATTGGAAAAGCATTTTTGAACTTGCATATGCATGTCTTATCATATTTTTTGGGCATATATATAAATATATATATATATATATATATATATATATATATATTTTCTTCTTTTTATTTGGCATCTTTCATTTTACTTCTATTCAGTCTAATTAATCTTAATTTGCCTAATCAAGATTTATTTAATCATTTATTTTATTTCTCTACAATTCTTAATTTTTGACAAACTAGTTAGTTAGTTAGTTAGTTAGTTTGTTAGTTAGTTAGTTAGTTAGTTAGTGTTTTTTTTTTTTTTTTTTTTTTTTTTTTGCCTTAAGTTCCAATTTTAATTTTTAATTAACTTTATATGGTACTTGTTTTGAAAAACTGCTAAGTAGACGCCCCTTTTTATTGTGAAGAAACCTCTTTTGCCACCTACCCATGCATACACACAAAAAATTATTCTTACTTCTATTCTTACATCTTTTAGTAAAAAATACTCAAGTTTAGAGGATCTTTGTAACTAAAAGTCTATTTGAAAAGATCATATTGCAAAAACCTTACACATGTTTTTTTGCTTTGTAAATAAAAACTCTCTTATTAAAGCTTTATCCTTTGAATATAATATGAAGTAAGAGGAATCTATGGAGTATTCCAAATCATTCTTTTATTATAAGTCTAATTTTTTTTAGCTTATATCTTAATTATAATATATATATATATATATATATATATATATTATTTTAAAGATTAATTTTGGTAATTCAAAATACAACTTCTTAATTTTTAAAAAGAATTGTCTCTTGAAATGAAACCTAAAAAAAATTCTTAGAAACAATATTGTTTGCATTTTGTAAGAAACAAAATTACATTCTTTTACCTTGTTTCTTAAATAATTTACTATTTTAAATGTCTTTTAGCTGTGGCTACTACCTTATTAGTAATTTACAACTATTAAGGTTTTATACTTAGGATATAAGGTTAGCCACTGTAATATTTGAATCTTTCAATTGGTTTCAATTTTATTAGTCTATTTTAATTAATTTTATACTCGGAGAATCATTTTAAAGGCCCTAAGAAGAAAAAACAATTTAAAATTATTATTGCTTCTATGTAGCATAAATAATATTGACTCCTAAAATATTTTATGAATTTTTCTTCAGATAAATCTCACAAAAATATTTTTGAAAAGCTATATCAAAAATTATTAAAATTAAATATTAAAATATTATCTATTATCTATTTATTTTTAGAAGTTTTAGAATTATAATATCAACTCTTATAACTAAACTTAAAATAAAAGAATAATTTAGTTAATTTATAGTTTCTTCTAAACTTACATTCTTTCTTGAAATCAAGGCTTCTAAAAGAAAATTCTTCTTTACTAAATAGAAAACCTTTGTAAGAGTTTTGTACCATAGTCTTATAAAAATCCTAGCATCCTATCAACATCTTGTTCTAAATTTCATCAATGTAACTAAAAGGATAGATTACTAATACTTTGGTATATAAGTATTTTAAATAAATAAAATAAAACAAAACATAGATATTTAGATGATAAAAAATCTTAAATATTTTTGAAGATTTAAAAGTGTTTTAGAGATCATAAGTTTTACATAAAATACTAGGTTTTAATTTTAAATTCTTATTATTTTTAGAAGATAGCTATAATTTTTTAAGTTTATTTATTTATTTATTTATTTTATTATATTTAATTTTATATGGATATTTTAGATTTTAAAGATTTATTTTTAAAAATATTTTTTAAAATTAAAATTTTTATAGGATTTAAAATATAAAAATTATCTGTACTAAATATTTATGTTAGTTTTATGTTATTTTATTTTATTCCTAAATTAGATATTATAAAATTTTAGAAAAAAATAATCTGATTTTAGATATAGTAGATGATTAAATTTTTTTTAAAAACATATATAAATATCTTTATATGGAAATAATACTTAAAAAATACTATAAGGCTAATGAAAAAATTTTCAAATTTCTTTTGTAATTTCTATAGTTTATTATATATATATATATATATATATATATATATATATATATATATATTTTTAAAAAATGCCATTATTTTTTGATGCAATATTAAAAAATAGGAAAAAATTGAAATTCTTATAAGAATAATATCTATTTATTAATATTTTAAAATATTTTGTTTTAAATAAGTATTTTTAGATATAATAAAAAATTATAAATTAAAAAAATACATAAACTTCCAATAGAAATTAACATATTATATAGAACATAGAAAAATAGATGTTATTGTTCCATATGGGTTGATGCACTTAATGTGTAGGTAAACATAGAAGAAGGGGTCTTGGAGGCTACTCTTATAAATTTCTATTCTTTACTGCTCTTAGAAAGCTTAAGCTTTAGAAAAGACTAAGTTGAATAAATTTAAAATGAATTGTGATTTATTAATTCTACACTCTATTTTTATGTATTTTTTATTATTCTATTTAAATTATAATTAAATTAAATTAAACATAAATAAAATTAATAGATTAATTATTTATTTCTTCTACCTAAATTTGGTATTAAAATTTAAAATTTTATTTTTTAACGTTCTTATAATAAATTACTTAATTAAAGTATTTTTCAACTAAATTCATTTTTTAAAGTAAATAAGTGATAGTTTACATTTACATTCTTTCATCGAATATTTCAATGTAGATGAATACTTGAAGCCTAAATATTTACATATACTTTCTTCGGCTCATCAAATGTAATATGATGTTAATTTTTTATTTTATTAATTTTTTTATTTATATTTATGTTAATTTTTTTAATTAATTAATTACTTAAAATTTAAAAATTATATGATAATTTATAATTTAATTGATTTTATATATTTAGGTCAAAAAATTAAGATAAAAAATTATAGAGAGTTAGAATAAGTGGCCATGATGGTAGTCAAATTATAATGGTTAAATATTCTTTCAAAACTCAACCTTCCAAAGGCTTTTTATAAGCCAAGGAATAACAAAATAAAAAAATTTTAAGAAACAAGATTGAGATGGATAGACGTTCCAATTTATTTTAGATATTTAAACATAAAGTATAGGTTTTCTTACTGCTTAGAGTTTCTTGAGAGAGTTTAAGCAATTTAAAAGAATAAATAGATATATTAAACAAAGCATTTATATCTTTTACTCTATTTACTAAAATATAAAAAATTAATATTATAATTTTAATTAAGTATATTAACTAATTGAAGTAAATTCTTCATTAAAAATATAAAATTTTTATTTTTATTTTTAATTTTGAATGGTTTTTACTAATTTAGATATATTTTATATTAATTTAAGAAAATTAAAATTTTAAAGTATAAAATAAAGTTTTATATATACATAAATATACATATATTTGTGCTTACAATTCTTATAACTATATTATATATAAAAATTGAAAATAAAAAATAAAATTTGATATAAAAATATGCATTGGAATTTAATAACTATATATTTTGTTTGTAAAATAATTATTATCTAAGAAAGAAGATAGATTATAAAAAGTAAAGAAGGTTAAATCAAAAAAATTAATAATTTAATTTTGATAATATTTGAAGCATTTAATTTGTGCATGAAAAACATAAATTTTTATAATAAAATAAAATTTATCTCTAATAATATTACATTCTATTTAAAATAAGATAGCTTAATATAATTAAAAAAATAGAAAGACTTGTTAAAGCCACACACTCCTTCCCACTAAATGACTCATTTTGTACGATGTCCAATGTCTCCAACCTCATTTCCAACCCTCCCTGCCCCTACCCAATACCCATCCTCTCCATCCCCACCTCACCCCAGTTCCTTCTCCCATCCCAATTCCACCTTAGAC